CTTCTTCTTCTTCTTCTTCTTCTTCTTCTTCTTCTTCTTCTTCTTCTGTTCATATTATTCTTTGGGTTTTTTCCCCCAGATTTTGTGGATGTTTTGTGTTAAGAATTTGTTGGAATTAATGTTTTCTTTGACTAATTAATCTATTTTCTCTATAGTATCTTCAATGCTTGAGATTCTTTTCTCAATCTCTTGTATTCTTTTGGTTATGCTTGCCTCTGTAGATCTCATTCATTTACCCAGATTTTCCATTTCCAGAATTCCCTCAGTTTGTGAATTCTTTATTGCCCTTATTTCAGTCTTTAAGTCTTGCACATTCTGAACTGTTTCCTTCACCTCTTTGATTGCTTTTTCTTGAGTTTCTTTAAGTGATTTATTGGTTTCTCCCAATTTTTGGTTTGTCTTTTCCTTCATTTCTTTAAGGGAAGTTTTCATTTCCTCTTTAATGGTCTCCATCATCCTCATGAAGTTACATTTAAAATCATTTACTTCTGCTTCTTCTGGGTTAGGATGATCAAGTCTTCCTGTTGTGTGACTACTGGGTTCTGTTGTTACCATGTTGCTTTTTAGGTTGTTGAATGAATTCTTGCATTGGCACCTACCCATCTCTTTTTTCAATTGATGCAGGCAATGTCTTTATCTCCTGGTCCAATCCTTGAAGTTGCTGTACGTGTCTTTGGGAACTGTTCTTGGTCAGCCCTGTGCTATTGTTGTCTTTGTCTCAGGGAGCTGCTGAGGTCTCTCTTGACCAGCTAGCTCTCTTGGTCCACTTCTTTTGTTCTGTTCTCTTGGTCCTCTCTGTGCAGTCACAACCTGTGCTTCAGAGTTCCTCTGAGGTAGTTGGGGATAGGAGGGTTTGGGGGCAGAATGTGACTTGTATGTAGCTTGTAGGGTCTGTTGGATGGGATGGGGTATTGGAGCAGCCTACCTGCAGGAAGCTTGCCTGCTGACTGGCTAGAGAAGCTGATGCAGGTGGGGGAGGGGCCCTGGATTTTGCCCTGGTATGGAGGGCCTAAAGAGTGGAGTGCCTTGCTGGGTGGGTGATCACTTTCCTCCTAGTTGTCTCTGTGTAGTTACAGCCTGTGATTCAGCATTCCTTTGAGGTCAGGCAGGGGACATGGGGGTTTCGGGACAGAGTGGAACTTGAAGGGTCCAATTGATGGGATGAATGTGTTGGAGTAGCCTACCTGCAGGAGGCCTGCTTGCTGGCTGACTAGAGAAGATGCAAGTGGGGAAGGGACCCTGGCTTTTGCTCTGGTATGGAGGACATAGAGAGTGGGGTGCCCCACCGGGTTGGTGCGTGATCACTAACTTCTTGGTCCTCTCTGTGTAGTTGCAGCCTGTGTTTCAGAATTCCTCTGCAGTTGCAGGGGATAGGAGGGTTTGGGGGTGAAGTGTGACTTGTAGTTTACAGAGTCTGATGAATAGGATGGGGTATTGGAGCAGCTTATCTGCAGGAAGCTTGCCTGCTGGCTGGCTAGAGAAGATGACAGGTGGGGGAGGCTTCCTGGGTTTTGCCCTCCTATGGAGGGACTAGAAAGTGGGGTGCCCAACTGGGTGAGTAATCAATCACCTTTTGGTCCTCCTATGCATCGCTTTCATTGGTTGATGAATAAAGTTGTTTGGGCCAATGGCTTAGCAGAGCAAAGTCAGGCAGGAAACCTGAACAATGGGGGGGCAGAGTCAGGAAGATGCCATGTAGCTGCTGAAGTAGAAGGATGCCTGACAGAACCTTACTGGTAGTCCCCAGGCTCGTGGTGATACATAGATTAACAGAAATGGTTTAATTTAAGATACAAGAGTTAACTAGAAATATACATGATCCATTGGCCAAATGTTGTTGTAATTAATATAGTTTCTGCGTGCGTATTCAGGTCTGGGCTAGAGGAAACAAATGCACAATCTCCATTTGCACACATGCATACTAAACGAATTAGGCTTTCTATGCTATTTTAAATTATCAATCCTTTATTCTTATTGACATCTAGGAAGCAGGGTATAAAACTATCCTTGTGCTTGTGCAAGGAAATGTCAATAAAATACAATGTATTTCTTTCAAGTAATGGACAGTATATGTTTTGAGTATATTATCACAAAAATGTTAAGGTGATCAATGTGTTAAATTGACTTCATTTAATCATTCTGTATTGTATCCACATTTCAGTCCATATATGCAAACAATTTTGAGTTGTTAATTGTAAACAATACCAAACAAGTAAAAAATAATACAAAGGTAATAGTTTGATATATGAAAATGGGGTGAAATGTGAGTTACTGATTCCACTAAAAACATCTGACAAATATTGCATTCATTGCTCGTTTTGTGATAGTAAGTAGACAAAAACTATTGTGTAAAAATAACTTGGGCATTTGCTTGTCACTGCACATGCCTATCACTATGAGATGGCTGTGCTTTGAGAAGTCATGATGAACACTGCACTAGATAATAAAGCCCAACTCACACAATCTGCAAGTAGAAAGGATGGAATCATGACAGAGTCTATCCTGTATGGATGTGGGCCTGAGATGGCCCATACTGCCAACGTTCAAAGACAGTCTCTGGTAATATTTTATTGTATTAATGTCATTTACAATTAATGTACTCATTTACTCTATGTGTACATGAACATAGATGAACCTTTTTCTGTTTGAAAAAATAAATTGGCTTACACTGCTTTGGAAAATGCCATGTCATTTTAAAATATGAGAACCTACTAAGTAATAAAATGTTAATATTTTGTTATAAAAATTAGTTCAATGTTACTATTAAGATTCAGCAAGGAAGCATTGAGAGCTATTTGTCTGATTTCAGTTGGGGGAGAGTTCTTCTCTGAGACATAAAAAAATAAATAAAATTTGCCTGGTTTTGAAAGAATTGTAGTTCATTTAAAATAGTTCTATAGTCATTTAATAGGCAAAGGCAAATATGTAAAACAAAAACATAAAACATGCATACTTATACACAATAATAAGATAACTGGATTTATAAGAAACCTTAAGTAAACAAAATATTTTAAAATCTATATAGACAAGGCAAAGCATACACAGAAATTTTGGACATATGCATTCTATTATATATGTGAAACATACTCTTCTTTTAGAATAATCAAAAATGACTAATAAAATAAGCAGTAACAGTGGTTACCATTTGAATTGCTAAGAATTGTTGGTAAATATTGTATTCAATACTAATGACAGTGGAGTGATCTATCGCGCCCCAGGAGTAGATGTTGGAATACGTACAAACTTTAACACTCATCATGATAGCTTTGACCTGGTCATTATCTTTATGGAAAAGAAGATTCGACTTACAAGACTGAGACGGATGATTTTGCCTATTGAGTGAGGTCATCTCCAGCACCATAGTGTGATCTGTTTAGAAACCATGGAGGAAAAGGAGGGGTCAGAGGAAAGGAGAAGGAGAATGGGGAAAGGAAAGGAAGAAAGGAAAGAAAGAAGGAAATTAGGTAGAAGGGAAGAGAGGAGAAGAGGGAAGGAGAGAGGAAGAAGAAGGAGGTAAGGGGAAGAAGTGGAGAAGCTATATCATAGTTTTAAAGGGGCCTGTTGGCAGGGGGCGGGGCCACTGCTCCAAAAGGGCAGTAGTAGACAATGATGAATGAAAGAATGGCCTGTCTTCTCTGTGACGTTTGAGGCTGAGCTAGAGAAATCCAGCTAGCCTGGGCAGTACTGACTGACACAGACGATACAGCAATATAATGGGAGAGAAACTTCTGCAAGTCTCTTTGAGAAGTGCTGGGTGATTTCATCAATGGGGCTTTTAAACAGCCGCAACCTGAGATGCGGTGATTCCAGCTTGGCTGAGCCAGCACAGCCAGAAGACAACTCAGGTCCCAGTTACATCTCCGGCAGTCGAAAGCGCAAATGGGGCATTTGGGACTTTGTAGCACCAACCCCTAACATCCACGGATCTCAGAACCAGGCAGTCAACCTACAGCAAGTTTTTGGCATCGTCTACAGGAAAAAACCGAAGCTATCATCTAAGTATGCTTACCAAACTTTATTTTTGGACGGAAAGGATAGCGACGTTAGAATCCGTGCACTTGAAGTAGAATGGCCTCTACACAAAGTATTTTTATGTCAGTCAGGCTTCTTCGCTAAGATGCTAAAGGATTCTTGGAAAGAATCCCACAGTCATGTTGTCGACCTGGAGATTAAGAACGAGGATATAGATGTCAGCTCCTTGCACTTTGTGTTTGGGTCATTGTACAGGGACGAGGACTGGCCAATAATACCCCGTCAAGTTCCTCATGTTTTGGCTGCAGCATGCCTGCTTCAGGTGGAGCACATCATCCGGCAATGTAATGAGACCATGAACAACAGCATCACTAGGGAAACCGTGTGTTCATACTACACAGCAGCAGAAACTTATGGACTGAAATCTGTAAAGACACGCTGCTTTGACTGGCTTCTCTGCAACTTGATGACCCACCCAAATGTTGAACTTTACAAGGAAATTGATATAAAGCTCATGTATCTCCTTATTTCTTCAGCTGATTTACTAGTTATGCGAAAAGAAATGGACATCTACACCACCCTGAAAGAGTGGATGTTCCTTTGTCTTAATCCTTCCTGGAAAGGCCCAGAGAAGCAGATTTTAACTAATGCCAACAACTGGCTTTCCAAGCACATGGAATGCATTGATGACATCAGTTTTCTTGAAAGTGAAGAAGGACTCGTATTTCAACCGGTTTTTAAAAAACTGAGGTTTCAACATATCATCTGTGATCTGAGTGACACAGCTACTCTTGAACGAGATCGTCTAATACCTTTAGAATGGTTGGCACCCATTTATAAACAGCAATGGCTGGCTTTGCTTCAAGAACAAGAACACAGGGAAATAGGGCCACGAATCATTAGTGAAGAACTCGAAGACTGTGGCATGAGATGTGGTACAGTGATTAGCAGAGATGGTGATTACTCCTGGAAGTGGTCAGCTTTTAGGTTTAGTTTCCCTATAAGCATCACCTTTACCAACCATTGCATCATTTTCAGGCAAAGTCGTCAGCAGCCTGATGGTTGTTGTTTAAAACATATACGAAATGTAGTGTTCAAAATAACTTTGGTGTGTTTTGATTCCAACGGGAAAGTAACATTCAGTAAAACAACTGGTCAAAAAATTGTTACCTTCGAACAAAACGAGGAACAAATTGTAATGAAGTTAGATGGCATAGTTTTAAGCTTCCCTTTATATATATTCTTCAATTTCCTGTTTCTATCATTAGGAAACAAGGAACATGTGTGATCTTGTCAATTATTAGACCATATGAGCAGCTTCCAAACATTGAATGATTCGTTAACTTGAAGGCTGTGTTATGAATGAGTTAAGATGACCAACAACAAAATGAAAATTCTTAGGAGTCTAGCACCACCACAAATGACTCAGTTCCATCTTCACTTTATTTTAATGCATTTCTGAAGAAAAATCCCACATCTAACATGGGATTTGTCAAAGAAAATCAGAAGAAACTGTTTTTTGGATTTTTGTTTACCATCAATGGTCAAGATTTAATGGCAATAAGAGATGTATTTGCAAGGAAAATCAGCTAAATCAACTTGTTGAGTAGATTTGACGACAGCCAAGGTTGAGGCAGAATTAAAAAAAAATCTCTCAATTTCTGAAACTGTTGTGAATCGTACCTTATTTATATGTGTATAAGATATAAGTCATTGGTTAAAAAATAATTGTGATTACTCCCTACTGATGTGTGCTTTTAAATAACCAAATAGTGTCAGGTTTTTCCAGATAATGTAACATATAATATGTTGGTACTTTAAGATTGGATTTCAGATCATTTTACATTATTTGGATAATTTTTACTTCTGATTATCCTTAACTATTTATGCACAAAATGGATATTTATCTTACAATCGAACATGCCAGCTGCTATGTAAACAAGTTAATTATATATTCAGTGTGTTTACATAGAAGTATCTATGTTTACATACATATATGTACATATTTATGTCACTGTCAGTAGCCAAGAATGCAAATTTTGAATGGGATAAACCAGCCAGGAAATGGAACATGGATCTTCATGATTCCAGTCTTCTGGCTATCAAGAAAGAGTTATGTCACTTTCCCTGCCTTACTTACTTTCCCCATTGCTGTGATAAAACCCCCTTATGAGAACAGCTCAAGGGAAAGGGTTTATTTTATCTCATGCTTCAAGGGGATGCTCCATCACTGCAGGAATTTGCCGCAGCTCATCACATAACATCCACAATAATAAAAAGAGATGAGTGCTGCCCAAGTCCTCAGCTTTCTCCATTGCCAAGCTGACAGCTCGAGCTGTCACAGCTCTGCCCCTTGTCCACATGACACCCAATCACACCACTTTTCAGCCATAACTTTCAATCCCTTTGTCCTCATAGGCTCACCACCATGTCGTGGTATAAAATGCATTTAGTTCAACTTTAAAAGTCCCCATAAACATTTCCAAAAAAGTCTTTGTATGAATTATCTTTATTGGTTTTCTTTCATACAAGAATATATTTTGTTTCTATACTCACTGACTCCCACCAACTTTTGGGTCTATATTCCCACATCCCCTCCCAGCTTCATTTGTTCTTATATAATCTACTGAGTTCAAATTGCTGTTCGTATGCACATGGTTGTAGGTCTGAGATCAACTTGTCCGTATTCCCATGGCTGTAGGGCTGTCCACTGCATATGGATAACCTACTAGGCATCCTATCTCTGAAGAAAACTGACTTTCTGTCCCCTGGCAGTTCTCAACTGTTCGGAGCTTATCAACCAACTGTAGTGAGATTTTCCACCAACTATGCTGGAATAGTGACGAGACAGTTTGTATGCAAGACTTGTGTATTGTGTATGCAATTATGGTTGTGGAAAATTGAATGTCATTTCCTGTCATGTGTAAAAGACATAGTTTTGTGACGGTCTTTCCTGACTTCTGAATCTTAATAAGCTTTCTGCCACCTTCTTCTGCAGTATTCCCTGAACCTTGGGAGGAGGAGTTGTGATGTGTGGGGTGACCATCCCCAAACAGTTTCAAATATTTAAAACACGGAGGTTTCTTAATTGTGAACACACAAAATAAAAAATAAGTTATATACTTCTAGGGAAAGCACTCTTGGACAGTTCCCTTTTAAAGAAAATAAGGTCTTTCGCTTAGACTTTCTCTCTTTAAATGGACTAGGGTCATCACAAGGTGGAGGCTCCAAGGACTTGTGCTTTGTCCCCAGAACACCTTCGCTATGGCCCCAGGGAAGTACAGCTTTCCCTTCAGTAGTCCTGATCTCTGTAACAGTTCCAATTGCTTCCTCAGAACTAGCCTGAATACTCACCTGTTTTTAAATTTATCTTATTTATGCCTGTGGGTATTTTACCTGCATCCATGCCTGTATATTACTTGTGTACTTGGTGCCCAAAAAGACCAGAAATGAGCATTGGATCCCCTGGGATTGAAGTTGCAGAGGTTGTGAGCAACCATGTGTGGACTGGGAATTGAATTCAGATACCCTGGAAGAGCAGCCAGTACTCTTAACCACTGAACCATCTCTCCAGCCTATGCTTGCCTGTCTTGAAATTTCTTCTGCAAAACAAACCAGCCCATTATCTTTAAATAGAGCTTCATTCGAGCTCTCAGAATATGGTGAGAATGAAGACAGATTCTTGGGCAAAATATCAGGACAGTGTTCCTTTTAAATCCTCATGTGTTGGCCACTACTGCCCACATGTCTCTCAGAGTTCTTGTCTTTGAGCTTCTACTGGAATTGCGCATCACAGTCTCCTTCCTGCATGTAAAAGCATTTCTAGTCCAGAGTACCAAACTCCTGCACATTTCAACCCAAAGCAGGTAAGCAGAGGGAGGCCAAAGGATCACTTAAGTTCTTCAAAGCAACAGCCCTACTTCAATACCAATTTGTGTCTTAATTTCTTTTTCTGTTGCTGTGCTAGAAATAGTCTACTAAAGCAACTTAAGTGGAAAAACTTAAGGGTTCACAGGAGCAACAGGAGCTTGAAGTAGCTAGTCACGTTGTGGCCACAACCATCCCATGAGAAATGCTCTCTTAGCTCTCAGCTTGCTTCCTCTGTTTTATACAGTCTAGGAGTCTCCAAACAGGAAACTACACCACCTATGGTGGCAGAGCTTTTTATCTCAATGAACATAATTAGCATACCCCACACAGGCATGCCACCATTCCTGGGTGATTATAGATTCAGTATGTCATGATTAAAAATCACACTCTACATGTTCTATTTGGTCTTTTATATTTATTTAAATTTTCAATTTTAATTTTTTTATTTTTAATTGGTCAATATCTGTTGCACATATTGTTAGGTTTCAGTTTAAGTACTAAGACATTACCATATCCAATATCCAAATCCTTCTTTTTTTCACTTTTCCTATTCTTCCTCCTGCTAATCTCTTCCCTGCTTTCTTTTTTCTGATTTCATGTCATATAAAATGTTTTATATCTTTATACAAAATAGAGGTTCCATAAATAAAAGAAAATACAATCCTTGTTTTTCTGAGTCTGTTTGCTTAATATGGTGATCCCAACTTGCATCTATTTTCCCAGAAACAGAATTATTTCATTCAATTTTTTAAATTTCCTCATTCTTATTTTTCCAACAATACATTGCAATCAGATTCTTTCCCCTTCCCTGACTCCTCCCAGATCCTCCTCACTTCTCTTCCCACATAGATTCATGTTCACTCCCTCTCTATCTCTTTCTCTCTCAAACGCACACACACACACACACACACACACACACACACACACACACACACACAATAAACTAACGACCACCCCCATAAAGGATATATTTTAGGAAGCTTCTACAGTAGAAGACTACCATGTGGCTTCTCAAAAGCCCGTTGCCTTAGTTGTCCCTCACCACAGCCCCTTTTCCTTGCCTTCCCTTACCTCTCCCTATTTAATCCTTCTAGTCCAGTTTCCCTAAGTCTTTTCATCAAATTTTTTATCCCTTCCTGGGAAGATCCCCTCCTCCATTCAGATCCTTCGTTAGTTACCTGACCTCTATTGTTATTTGAACAGAAAGACACATATCTAACCATAAAAGCTAACATCCACATAGAAGAGAAAATGTGCAATATTTATCTCTGTCTGGGTTATCTCACTCGGGATGTTTCAGCCTCCATCCATTTACCTGAAAATTTCATAGTTTCAGTCTTCTTAACAGCTGAATAATATTGCATTGCATAGTTTTACCATATTTTCCTTTCCTGTTCATTAACTGCTGATCATCTAAGCTGCTTCCAATTTCTGGCTATTATGAATAGAGTAATAAAGAACATGGCTGAGCTCATGTCTCTGTAGTAGAATATGGAATTTTTTGGGTATATGTTCAGGAGCGGTACAGTTGGATCTTGTGGTAGATCAGTTTTCGGCTTTCTGAGAAACGTCCTCAGTGATTTCCATACCAGTTATACCAGTTTGCACTCCCACCAGCAATGAATAAATGTTCCTCTTTCCCCATTCTCAACAGCATGTGCTGTACTTTGATTTATTGATCTGGGCCAATCTGACTGGAGTAGGATGGAGTCTCAATGTAGTTTTAATTTTCATGTCCCTGGTGGCTAGAGATGTTGAGTAATTTTTAAATGCTTCTCAGCCATTTGTGCTTCATGTTTTGAGACCTCTCTGTTTAGTTTTATTCTCTCTCATCTTTAATTAGGTTATTTGCTTTCTTGAATTTTTTTTGGTTCTTTATATATTCTAGACACTAGCCCTCTCTCACATGTATAACTAATGATTTCCCATTCTGTAGGCTGCCTATATCTGAACGATGGTGTCCTTTGCCGTGTGTGTCATATTTAGAAAATCTTTTCTTGTGCCAATGAGCTCATGGCTATACCCCCCTTCTCTTCTATCAAATTCAGTGTATGTGGCCTTATACTGAGGTCCTTGATCCGTTTGGAGCTGAATCTGTTTTTTGTTTTGTTTTGTTTTGTAGGGTGATAAACATGACTAAATTTGCATTCCTCTAATACAGACATTACTGTGATCAGTATCATTGGTGAAGATATCTTTTTATCTACAGTGTTAAATTTTGGCTGCTTTGTCAAATATTAGGTGTCTGAATTTATTTGTTTCTTCTGTTGGATTCCATTGATCACAGAGTCTGGTTTTTTTCCTCAGATACCATGCTGTTCTTCTTACTATAGCTTTGTGTATAACATGAAATTGGGAATGGCAAGACCTCCAGCAGTTCTTCTCTTTCTGTTTTTAAATTCAGGATTGTTTCAGCTCTCCTTGACTGTTTTTGTTTTGTTTTCATATGAAACTGAAAATTGTCCTTTCATGATCTTAAAAAATATATAGATATTTTGATGCGGATTACATTGAATCAGTAGATTTATTTTGTTAAGTTGGACATTTTTATTATATTAATACTAACAATGCATCGGAAATCTCTCCATCTTCTGGTGTTTTCTTCAACTTCTTTCTTCACTGTCTTAAAGTGATTTTATTATGTTAGTCTTTCACTTAATTGAATAATGTTGGCCCAAGATATTTCTTGAGCCTACTACTCTCTTTCTGTCTTTCTCTTTGTGTCTCTGTCTCTGTCTCTGTCTCTCTCTCTCTCTCTCTCTCTCTCTCTCTGTGTGTGTGTGTGTGTGCTAATTTT